GCACATCTCCTTAAAACAAATGGTCACTCACTCTCTCAGAACCACACAATGACACCTAATAATAGTGCATCAGGGTACATTTCTTGCATATTTATAAGATATCTTATAAATATCTAATAAATTGTGTATATATATCTTATAAATATGTAAGAAAAGTACCATGATACACCATTGCTGTTGTACTTTATATAAAACAGGTGTATCAGGTGTATTTTAGATATCAAGAATCAAATTAATGCACATTTTTTCCATGTTGAATTTTGCTTGGTACCTTTTGAATTGCTATTAATACACTTTGGAAAGATTTATGCTTTATGCTTTGAATAGTAGTTTTGTGCTTTGAGCTACTAGAGAATCTATACTCAAACATGTAGAAGGAGCAGTCAGTCTGCTGTGTCATTATCAGATTAATTAGCTACTTGAATATTTTAAAGTGGATCATATTTCTGATTGCAGGATAAGGTGAATAATTTATTAGTGAGATCAACATTAATCTGTCTGGGACATCTATTATCTCAGTGATGGTTCAGAGAAATATGCTTGATAAGTCACGGAATAAGTGAACATAAAACCTAAACTCAAAGGAGACAGTAAGTGAGACCGAAAGCAAATCATAAAGGCACTTCGCATGTTCATCTTTGTAGTTTTTATGGTTATTGAAGTTTGCCTAAAGTTTATTCAATCTAGTTCTTGGCAGCCTGTAGTAGTAAGTTTTCAAATATGCGCTCTAACCTGCTGTAAGTTTTATTTTAAAATGTTGAGTTTCAACCAAGGCCAATCTTTCCAAATTGGTCAAATAAAAGTGGATTATTGCCATAAAGGCAATACATATTACAACATAGTAACAGTAGGTTAGGCTTCTGTTGTTTTGGATTAATTTTGGATTAAATTCTGTTCATTGTATGTTCCTTGTTGTCCTTCCAATTTTGTTACTGCCTTTCCCTAACCCGACTTTCATTTTATTCAATTCAAAATACATTTTCTTCTGATCTTTTAATACCTAATTTTTCTCTTTTTTAATTTTTTTTTATCTAGTGATGTTTTGATTGACTTAAAGGCAGGCTCCAAGGCCTAATTGTTTGGCTAATTAGAAGCCACAAAGAATGATTATTGTGGATTTGATTGTATCTTATATTTGACTAGATCCAGGCAAGATGCCCCATTGGAAAAAAACGTCTGCTACATGCTAAGGGCTAAACATTTTTGCATAAAATGCCTGGCGAGGTTATCCATCTAACAGAAATGCAGTAACACACAATACTACAATAAACAACGTGACCTGCAGGAGAGGTGCTAAAAGTTTAATTTTAGAAATTAAACTTGAATGTTAAAAAAAAAAATCAATATGTTATCCAAATTCATTTTGTCGTTGTGTGTAAATTTGGTCGTTTTGAGTGAATGGTTCATATTAATATAATCTACAGCAGTCAGCCCGGGGATAAAACGTATCTCACTTGTGTCATTAAACGTGAATGCCAGATTCTGACTCATCTCAGCTCTTGTCACTGTTGGTTTTACTCTTAACAGAAATGTAGTAAATGGAATTTCAATCGGTGAAGGAACCAATTTAGCATGAATCTTATTACTAAGATGTGACACACTCTGTACATAGTCATCTGCGTTATTACCGATTAGAGTTTCTGCTGTGAATTTAACTGCTGTTTCCACTCTTTCTATTCAGTGCAGCACAACTTCTACAGCGTCATTTATTTTACTTTCTGAAACTAGAAGCAATACAATTGATCTGTAATTAAAATGTTAATTTAAATGTTAACTGTTAATACAGCTTAACTGTTAGCAATTTAGCTGTATACATGCCTCTGTGTCCCTCCAGTAAATAGGAACCCGGTTGTATGTTGAGTGGTGGATCGCTTTCTGGTGGTAATCCCCCCTCTCAGAGCAAACTGCCTGTTCAATCCCCCTGCCACGCCCTATCCCTGTATCCCTTTGAGTACTTCTTTCAGATACCCGTCTCCTTCTCACATGAAACTCACAATTGTCCTTTGATCACCTTTATGTGGCACCAACTGGTCGCTAGTATGGACACAAATAGTGCAATAGGAGGTGCTCAGCTAATGTTGGGATGAGGGAGGTTGTTAAAGTAGATCATCAGGATCTCTGCATCTTCTTTCATCCTCACTTCCCCGACCCCCCCCCCCCACCCCACACACACCCACACAGCTATGTGGCCAGTTGTGCTCAGCGGTGTCCCACAAACAGTGGTGGAGTGAGTGACCAATTTTATTTTGGGGGATTTTTTGGTCGGGAGATCGAGAGAGAGAGAGAGAGAGAGAGAGAGAAACTTTAACACCCACCTGCACAGGCCAGAGGGGGCCTCGATTTAACATCTCATCCAAAGGACGGTTAAAGTATGGCTTTTGCCAATTAAGGGTTAATCAATAAATAGGGCCAACAGTCAATTCACTGTTCAATATATTCTGTAACGACATCTCAGTGGCGTGATAAGGCGCTACATCAAATGCAAGAATTATTATAATAAATACAGTAATCTTATGACTTGTGCCACCTTCAAACCGTGCGGAAATTTTTTTTTGGTGGGGGGTGGGGTGGTTAAAAAGAAATAGGAAGGAAGTATTGCAGATTCTCTACCAAGTTAACCATTTAGGCTTATCTGTAGCTTGGGATCTCCCGCTGTGTGTTCTGCCCACATACAGCTTGACCCCATTTCTATGTCAGCGTGTTGCACAGGGATGCAATACTCTTACTACCGTAGTTTCCATTGTAGCTGAACATCTATGACCAAGAGGCTCTTAGAGTGAGTTCAGATGCTACCGTAAGTGTTTCGAAATAAAGATTCTTTTCTTTCAATTTAAACGTAATGCTCTCAAAGCTGATGGGAAATGTATTTTGATTTTTCAACATTTCTGAGGATAATGGTAGCGTTTTATCGCAATATTTTGTTGGGAAATGCTTGAACTCCTCAGTGTGTCTTTGTTACAAATTAAGAATAATGAAGAGTGTCAATGGTTTGACTCCTTTGGGCGACACAAGTAAAGAGAATCACTCGAGGGATAAGACTCAAATTTAATTAGTGTCACATTAATCTTCTGTTGTAATGAGACAAAGCTGTTTGGGATTTGACAGTTTAGTTTGCTTCACATAAGACATTCGGCCAAAACTACAGTACATAGGCTAAAATCTGTATAAAGAGGAATTTGTTTATTGTTCAGATTAGAAACATATTTATCGCATTGCTGTTGTAAACGCCCTCTGTTGCTGGTGTAATCTAGAGATTGTTGTTGGCAGCGAACGCAGTATAAATACAAGCTTTTCAATGTAAGTATCATTTACTTATTTACACCACTTTTAAACGAAATGCAGTGGCCATATTGACACTGTTGTAGCTTTCCTTTCGACTTAGAATAAAATGGCAGGAGCTGGAAGCTATGCTTTTGTGGTATCTTGCACAACTGTCAAGTGATTCAGTAGTCTGAACAACATGTATTTGTATATAATTATTTTGACTTTAATTCATTGTGTTGGGGCAGTTAAATGAGACTTCTAGAAAACATTTATAAGCTGTTAATACAGTCCTTAAAGAATTGATTTGCTATTTGCTTTTGAATCTTAGGTTTTCTTCACTCATTTATTATTTAAATGTGTTCTTTCTACTTTATACAAATGAGCTTGATGTTAACCGATAAAGAACATGCCTTGAATGTATCGCAGAAAAGAACTGCGCAACAAAAAGTACTGAGGAGTTTTTCTGAGTGTTCCTTTGAAGCGAAAGGATTGATTTCAGCTTTGATTTGAAACTGTTACATTGCAGAATTCAGTCGTATCGCAATGAATATCCCGAACATTTATCCTGGATCTCCTTGTTTCATGGAGGTCATTTCTTATCCGACTTTTGCTAAGCTATTTATTCTAAGGGTTGTAACTTTTCCTCCATTTTAAATTACTTGTCACCTTGTTCTCACTCTTGCCAACTTCTGTAGATTTGTTTGCACAATTATCCATTGGACATTGCCGTCTTTTCCATGTTTGTGTTCTTTAGAAGTTTATTAATCCTCTTTTTCACACAAGGACCTGCTGGACTCTTCTCGTTTCTAGTTTAGTGAATGTAATCGATTGCTAATGATCGTGGCAGAATTGGATGCACCTAAAATGATACCTGTGCATGAAAATAATTAAATTCTTGATTCGAGTATTTAGACCCCATTCTCATTCTTACTCATTTATTGGTTATTATGGTATAATTCAAAATGGTAAGTTGCTGTTGACAATAAAACTTCTGGACTCCTTTCACAAAGGCTAATAAATGTGCATAAGACCTGCACAACTGTATAGGTTATACAGATAAAAGGCATTGAAATAATAATAATAATCCTTGCATTTGATATGGCCCCTTATCACATCTTTGAGACGTCTCAAAGCACTTCGCAGAATATGCTGTAAAGTGAATTAACCGTATTTTGCAGGTGAATTAAGTAGCAAAGATATATAGATATAGAAGAAAATAAAACGGAGGAAATGTAATGCAGATTTATTGGTTATGTATGTGTTTGCTTGCTTGCCAGCCACATAATAGTAATAATTATTTTAATAATATTGCTTTATGAGTAAACGTTGGGTGCTCATTTTAACTTGAACTTTCCATTATTAAAATGACTTGATCTGAATATGTTGGCACTGTTAACTCCAGGTTTAAATCTGGTTGGAACTCCAGTAGTGACAAGAGAACACTTACTAAAGTTAAGCTTCTAATAACTAGTTCTATTGGTAAAACAATTGATTCTTATGATGGAGGCCTTCGGATTATAATTGTATAAAGTAATGACGTTTTGCATAATGATAGAAAATTCATTATTTACTACGTGAGAAACCGTCATCAAAATTCATCTGTTAATAACTTGAGTTGGTTTTCGTCAGCTGTTTTACCCCCTGTTTCGTTCACAGGTGAAATGTCAACCATTCACTGCATCTTGAAGTCTATACGGTCTGGGAACTTATGATCAATGTTTGCTTTTTAGGAGGTCCTTTTATGGCTTCTTCCCATACCATAGCAGCATGATCGGCCTTCAGACACTGGCAGATCCCTCAGATACATGGGAAATAGTCGAGACAATTGGGAAAGGAACGTACGGGAAAGTGTACAAAGTGTCTAATAAGAAGGATGGGAGCCAAGCGGCTGTCAAAGTCCTGGACCCCATCAGTGTAAGTATTCAGAACTATTCTGTGGCTTTAATAAAAATGATTATTATTATAACTTGGATATTGGTTTGGATTTTAGAGCTGTTGAAAAGCGTTGCAATTTTACATTCTGTAAGTCACTTGTGCTCTTTAAAGTTACCGTCCTTCAGAGGTCCCGTCTGCCTGTTCAGGTGGACGTTAAAGATCCCTTGGTGCTGTTCGAAAAGACCAAGAGAGTTTCTTCCAACTTGTGTCGTTCAAACACCGAACAGAAATTCCAGTCGACTTTTAAGTAAGTCATCTGTTGATTTATTTATCAACATGTTAATATTTTCCTTAGGATGTTGATGAAGAAATCGAAGCAGAATATAGCATTCTTCAGTCCCTTTCAAACCATCCAAATGTGGTGCAATTTTACGGAATATACTACAAAGCAGACCTGAAAGCTGGGGGTCAACTCTGGTTAGTTTTAGAGGTAAGGCCCTCATTGTTTGACTATTTTTAAGTATTAAACAGAACTCGTAATGATGCTGGTTATGCATTACTCGTCAATTGCTATAAAATTATATGGAAAATGTCTGAAGATATTTCCCTGTTTGATGTAGCTGTGTTATTACTGGCAATAATCAGTTTTTTTTTCTAAGTACATGCCATCATTTCTGTACAGGGTGATCCAAAAAGTCGTGATACCATTACAGTGTCTAATAAGTTAAAGAAATGATGATATTTTGGTGTTTTTAGATAATGAGATAGTTATCATGACTTTTTGGTCAACCCGTACATTTTTCTCCTACGTTTTTCGGCTTGAATGGTATTCCTCGAAAGGGCCTTGCCGCTTCACCTACAGTTCTCAATTCTCTGAAAGAAACCTGATCATAGTATAACACGAGTACTATATTGATTGATTCCCTCTGCGCCGTAGTATTGGAAAGTTTGTCTCCTATGTCTCTGCATTTAAAAAATCTTTGATTCCAATTTTTCTAAAAAAAGGCAGAAAAAGAAAAGAGCGAAACCACAATAATTAGTCTGACATCTTCCTTACGGTTCACAAATCCGTGTCTCCACTAAGAGACATGGTTGCCGCAATGATATTATCTTTTTATAGGCCAGTGATTCTTTCCCTGAAGAATTTTGACCTTGGAATCATAATTGTCATCAGTTGCCTTTGTTGGGCTGTGGAGTGGTCTGACACAATGGACTCCGTATCTGCAAGCTGTTCAATTTAAATAACATTGATAGAGCTTCTGAAGAAAATCAATTGGATTATTTCCTTGAATACATTCAGGGAAACCCTTGAACCAGTGATCATTGGAACATGACACCTCCTTAAGGTCACTGCACCCTATTTGCTCACTCTTTAGTATCTAGCTTAGAAGAATTTACATAGTTGACATAGCCACCCATCAAACTATTGATTGGATGCAATTTGAACTGTCAACTGCACAGGATGGGTGCATTGCAGCCATTTTTATTTGCTAGAGGTAGATAATTGTCCAAATCGATCAGAGGCCTGTGAGAAATAATGCTTTCTCTGGGCTGGTGCCAACTTAGGATTCATTTTGTTTCTTGCTGGTGAGTTGAAACAGCTATTTTTAATGTCCTGGTAATCTTTTAGGACGTTGTCATTTCTGCACAACCTTTATTTTCCAATTTTGCAATGCGCTGTCTTTTAAATTTATCGGAAAACTGTGACACCTCCGTTCAATAAAGTTCCTGCAACTGGTACCTCTGCTCAGCGAATGTACTAAATCATGGACAGTGCAGTCACATAATTCTCCACACCAAAAGAATAATGCGCGAGTTTTTTTTTCCCCCCTCCTTCTTCCCAAGAACGAGTTGTGGTAAAAAGGATAGATGAGATGAAAGCAGTGGATAATAGTTAACTCAAAGTGTTCTTCATGTTTACGGTTGTAGCTTCAATATTTGTCTGGGTAGTTTTAATTCTCCTGATGTGTGAACATAACAAAAAAAAACCCTGCCTCCTTGTAATACTGTCACAGACTCACTTTGATGAACAATTTCTGGACATTTTGTGATTGATATTATGTAGAAGTTACCGAGCAGGGTGTGAATGATGAATTAATGATATGGCGTTCACCGACGTGTAAAATACATTTTTACCTTCATCTTTGAGGCATGTATTTTAGTAGCCAACGATTGTAAAACTGGCATCTGTTTCCTTTGTATTAACAAAAAAAACCTGATGTCTCGTGCGTTGGCAAAAAGCTGTGACATCCAGTCTGAGTATAGAGATACAGTTCCTGTCGATTTCATGCTGTCTGCCAGCAGGTGGCTTGATGAAGTGAGGGATTGAAAAGGACCATAATTTCTTTCCATCATTCATGAAATTGCTCTGCTTGAGGAAATGACTAGTCGTTCGAAATGAAAATGTTGGGGGAGGAGTGCGTTGTGTAGAGAAGGATAATCGCTGCGATGAAGCAAACCACGGAGGTTTTATTTAGCTACGTGCTAGAAAACACATCATTTAGCTGGAAAGTTATTGTACCGAAAGATATGTTTTTTTTTCCAGAACAAACAAAATCTTCGAATTTTAAATTGGGTGAGGTATTCTATGTGAATTATCTTAAAGATTGAATCGTAGAAAATCTCTGGTATTTCTCTGTACAAGCTGGAAATAAAATAATCCTTAACATCCCCCTCTCTGGTCTAATCGACTAATTGTGCGTGACATGTGAGGGAGTTTGGGGTTGCTGTGCTCCCAACAGTGAACGAAAATGAAAACAATTCTAAAATTAACTTGAGGAGGGGGAAATCCCTATATTGTACTGTACACAATAGCACAGGAGACAGAAGGCGAGTGAGCGATATGTGTAGATAAATGAGGGGAAAAAACACATTAACATGGGAGCTACTTACTGAAAAAGAATAGGCTGAAGATGTGATGAGGCGCTGTATCAAATGCAAGGATTATTATTATTAAAGTTGCACGATGATCTTTCATCACTTTTTTTTGCAGTAAATGGACAAATTCTTTCTAGTTATTTGAGTCCAATTTGCTGACTGTTTAGAAATAGTTTTTATCTGGCAATGAAATTTCATCCCCGTTTTTTCATTTAATGTTCATCGTGCTGTTATAGTATAGAAAGTAAATATATATAAAAAAAGTCTGTCAGTTGACTGACTAATGTAAATGCTTTGGATGTTTCCTCTACAGCTGTGTAATGGTGGTTCTGTGACTGATCTTGTCAGAGGTTTGCTCAAGCGAGGTCACTGCATGGATGAAGCTTTAATCGCGTACATTTTGTATGGAGCGCTTTTGGTAAGGATGCTCATCACAAAGAAGTGACAACAGAGGACTCTTTTGTGTGTGTGTTTACGTGCGTATATTTTCTCTTTACATAGTAGTATTAATGGACTTCCGGCAGGAGTAGATTGCCAACTGCGGTAACGCTCGCTAAAAATTTCATTAATATATATGCAAATTGGCTTAATTAAGTTCTTTCATTTGGGCTAATTGTTTCCGCATTAAAACCCGCTCGAAATCCGTTCCCTATTTTTCGGTAGGGCCTTCAGCATTTGCACAACAACAGAATCATTCATCGTGATGTCAAGGGTAACAACATTCTACTGACGACAGAAGGAGGAATCAAGCTGGTTGACTTTGGTAATAACTGCTTACCATCTATTTTCCCCTGAAGTTTGCAGTTTAGCCAAAGGCAGCAATTTATTGCCTGCTCAGAAACCACAAGCTTCCCTGTGACACCACAGGCAACACATATTCTGCTGTTGGTGGCTGGAACGATTGAATTTAACAGATGGACTACTTTCCGAATTTGCAGCAGATAAACTGTCTGCTTAAGGATATGCCCCTCTTTTAAAATCTAATATATGGATATATATCTTTTTAAAAATCCTCACAACGAACATCAGTATGGTTGCCTTTTGTTTGATGATGCTCTGCAGACCAATTAGAATAAAATATTTTGTGGCTGTTGCTTATTTATATCTTAATGGGTTTTTTTTTTGCACCTTTTCGGGAATGATTTTTCTCTGTTAAATGACTGTAAACGGCCCCTCAGGCAATTTCAGTCCCTCTGTGCAGAAGGTAAAATGAACTCATGGTGCTAAAAATAACAGTTCCACTTAATTCCTGATTGTGACACCAAGTCTTCCGAAGGGAAATTGTTAACAACGCAGCAAGGTAAAAACAGAAGATCCCTTGGAGATTTGGTGGTAACTGCACTTTACTAATTTAAAGCAATAATAGCCTGTAGCTGTTCACTTCTACCAGGGTTCCTTTGAGATTTGTTTGTGACAACGATCTTCACTGTAGTCCTATGTGTCTGATGTGGCCTGGTATTTTAACCATTGCGAATAAAAGAAATCAAAATAAAATAAAAATTTGGTCACTCTATCCACGCCTGTTTGTGGGACGCTGCTATGCGTAATTGGCTGCTGCGTTTTCACCCACAGTCAATTCACTTGACAGTATATTCTGTAAAGCGCTATGAGACGTCTCGACAATGTGCTGTATCAAATGCAAGGATTACTGTTGTTGCATTGCTGACAGTTTATTTTGAGTGAACGTTTTCTAATATTTGCACTTTTCTTTCAAAAGGTGTTTCTGCTCAGCTCACTAACACCAGATTACGTCGAAACACCTCTGTTGGGACACCCTTTTGGATGGCACCTGAGGTGGGTTGGGTTTGAACTTTTTTTTAAAAAAGAGTTACCGTATTGTCTTTATTGCAAATATACCCTCTGACCTGTGCTATGAAATGGAACATCGAGGTTGAGGATAGTATTGGTTGGGATGTAACGCTGAACTCTCCTTACATCACTCCAAGGAATACTTAAATCACAAGCTTTGAAGAGCTCTACCCTCCTTAGCAATGTAGCATCTTCATCTACTACTTTTGGTCTTTACAAACTGAATGAGGCAGAATGACAAATTATTGCGTTCTCAAGGTTACTGTGTACTGTGGGATTCAGTTCACTGGGTATTTAATTCAAGACTGGCCAAATATTGTCCAAATGTATTTCGCTTGAGACTCTCGTCAGTTTTGAGATGAAGTAAGATTGTTCTTCCCTTTATTTCTGCCCAGAAATCAAATACAGTGTCTAACATTGGATTATTCTATTCTGTTCACACTGACTATAACATTTGCTGCGTTTTTAATGTGCCCTTTTTCGTGAATGTTTTACTTAAATCCACCGTTAAAAACAAAATAATTGATTTTAGTTTCTTATACGATTTTTCACAGACCCTAATAATATACTGTCCAAACCCCTACTGTGATTTATTTTTGCCACAATATTTAAGTGGTGTAATATCTTACTGAAGTAAGAGAATCTAGGAAGGTCTGTACGCTCACTCAGAAGTTGTTTATGCACTGTCAGGTAACACTACGCTGATTGGTTCCGTAATCAAACAAGTTTATTTTTCAAATTATAAAGGATTTTATTCAAGGAAGCTGCAATATGTGAAGCGGCAGCCACATATCCTATAAGCTCCTCAACAAGACACATAGTCACACCACTTTACCGTATATCCTGTGAAGTGCTTTGTGATGTTCAACTGACCCTAAAAGGCATTATACCAATTGCTAGGATTATTATTACGTAAAATAATCTACAGAGAACCCAACAAAGGTTCAGTCTAAGAAAGATTCCTGATCACTGTCATCATTTTTAGAGTTTAGGTTCTTTCGTAAGTTGTCTCACAGTTTAGGATTTTTTTTGTTGTTGTTGTGATATTTTTAATTCTTTCAGGCGGAATCTGAGAAATTGGGATACTTTGGAGACGTGTAATTTTGGAAATTAGTATTCCTCGTCTACAGCAGCGAAGAATTGTAAATGTGTAAGGTCTAGTTAGAAACTCTGAAAATCGTGTGCAACACAAAGCCACTACTCTTATTATTGCTTTGTTAATTGTATGTAGTTTAATACACATAGCACATTTTGGGCACAAACATTGTAAAGGAGTATTATAAAGGCTCTATGGAATATTATCTTTCTACATTAAGCGCTATAATATACAGCCCTACTCCTAATCACACATTTCTCAAACTCCTTTCTGAAATTGCGCTGTTTAGCTCAGCACTGATAGATGCCCACCAACATTTCTGCACTACAGACGTTAGACTAATTTACCCCCAGGTACTAGGTTTATACTTTTTTGAATACTCGGTAACATTAACTGTCATTGAGAGCAGAGGCAATCTGAGTAGCGTTTCATTGTTAATCATCCCTAAGTTTATTTGCAGGGGAACAACAACTTGCATTTATATTGCACCCCAGGGCAGTGTCCCAGAGCACTTTCCGGGGAAGTATCTGTGTTCTAGGAAAGAATCTAGTGAATAAACATTTTAATATATTTGCTATGTCACTCTGTGTGTGTCTGTGTGTGTGTGTGTGTGTGTGTCCGAACACTGTATTCTGGGAAGGAAAGACTGATGGAAAATGCTATTTCTGAGATAATTATTGGCCTTAAAGAGATGGTTACTATGGATGTGGTTCAGTGGAATGACCCTCAAGTAGGAGGGAGTAGTGCAATAATTCCACTACAATTGTATTTGTGACCAACTTATTTGAGGAATGCTTTTTTTTACCAAAAATGAAGCATTTTCTGAGATGCGAGTTATAATGTACAGTTACGTTATTGCAGACTATTGTGCTTTTAGGTATGTTGCAATGATGGGAATTGTTAAAGATTCTCTTCGAACAATCTTTCAAAGTGTGTAATTAGAATGTAAAGTCAAGCCTCATGAAATGCCAAAATTTCAGAACATTATACGATCACATATGTTATCATTTACAGTAAACCTTCACAGCAAGTGTTTAACCTTCCCAGGTCATGGTAGAATAAAAGTGATGGATTATCTTGTATTAGACCAATTTGGTGTGTATTATCTTGTGAGGAAGTGTGAGCTTTGTTCCAGTAATGATGTGGAATTCCTGTAACCAAACTATTCTATACTCATTCAGGAAGTGGTAACCCATAGGCAAAACACTTGTGATCTTGCAACATGTTGATGTCGAATAACAATCATGACTTTTGTACTCAACCTAGTCTCTCATGTCATTAAAATGACTCAAAGTGCAGTGACTGTATTTGTAGGTGACTCTGGCAACCAGTTTGCACGCAGCAGTATCCCACACACAATCATCCCGAACACTGAACAAAAAGGTTAAGCTTCTCATCCCTTTACCTCTGACCTGGAGACATGGAATTCCTCATATGAATACTCTTAAGTGGAATAAAGAGACTCATTTTTACCCTTTCTAAATCTGTAGAAGTATCCTTGTGGAGTTAACTGATCAATTTGGATCTGGCCTGAAAGAAAATGGGTGTCACCGTTCCCAAACTATTTTTTTTTAAATTACATTGGAATGGGGAACAGAATGTGCCTTTTGAATTGCTAATCAAGTGCTATATTTTGCTACGGGTTTACATAATGAGATAGTAACTCAGCAATACTAAGCACAGGCAGGTATTATTACTAACAAACACATTTGACTCCCATTAGAACTATTCTGCTCCAATTCAAATCACTACTTGACCATTTTCTGGTTGTACATTTTGTCAAACACGAAGACCTTTTAATGCGCAGTTTATATTGCCGGAAGTTTCGAAATGGTAGAAATAGGTTGACCATATTCCCTACGCTCTAGTTCTGCCTGGGACTCAGCCAAACACAACTAAGAAACCTTGTGAAAAACCTTTTTGTTTGAAAGAAAAATAGACGCTTAACAATTCGCCAGTCTACAAGGTTGAAGTGTTTTACAAGCCTAATGTGATCTAGTTTCTGATGATGATGACAGTGGGGAAAAAAAGTTTGAACAATTTCATACGATCATCAATGATCTCGGGCTTGACTGTATTTGACGAGGACCTGAAGTTAAATTGGAATATGGTCAGGGGAATGGACACCTAGGGTTTTTTTTTGCTGCTTTTAAAATGATTGTCATTCATTTTAATTCCTGTGACGTCTCTAGATTCAGGCTTCATTTCCTTCCTCTCCGTACCATTATGAAGAGCTTTGCTGCTACTGGAGTGATAGCACAGACTGCTTTTTTTTTTATCTCTCCGTTTGGAATGTCTCATTGTAACCAGTTTTAAATGCCCGAATGATTGAGCTCATTGTGGATCAATCAGTTTCTATCTTCATCAGAAAGAGAAGCACAAAATGTCAGAACAAAGAAGCAAAAGAGAAAATGAGTAATAACAGGGTGAAAAAACGCATGCGCGAGACAGACAGAGAGAGAGAATTAAATGAGTTGAAATTTCAAAAACCCTGTGTGAAAGAACAAACGTAGAGCTGTAATTGGCAGAAGACTAAAGTAAAAATATTCTATCTTAACATAATGGAAATTATAATGCATCTGGGAATAATGGAACGGCAATAATGTAAATTTACAATGATTACAAAGGTTTATCTTTGTGATGTTCTGTAATCCTAAACATTTCTATAGATGTAAATGCAGCAGATTAGCCATTTGCTGGCAAATTGCTCCCACTTTGTCCAGTCCTGGGCATCGAGACTCAACACGTAAAGCTATTGGATGATTTACCAGTGAGGTGGGCAGAATTTCTGATTTCATTTTGGTCATAGAAGCTGTGCTGTGGTTGTCTTAATCTTAGTCCAAATCATTCTGTCTGGACCCTAAGAAGGTTTAAGTGTGGGTGTTGCACAGAGGGATTAAGAAGGCTAAAAGTGATAAAATAATGTAGGTTACCCACTTGCGCTGCAATATATTTATGGAGTTCGGTTTAGATGGATTGGTACATATGCAAGGAATGCTAAGAAATGTCATCGAAGAGATTGTTTTATGGCTTGTGGCAGTGGTTATTTTTAGTGGTTATTCAACGCTGCCTACACTGCTCAAGCTGAGTTACACGTAAAGAGTCTGACAAGGAGCGAGTACATATGATTAGTTTTCATCTTTTGCATTACATGACATTGCTGGCCGAACAGTTCAGGATGTGCTGCTGGATGAACAGCAATGCCTGATGTCAAGTTGTGATGTGTATTTAAGTTGGCTTCCTTCACAGAATTGCCAAGGCACAAAAAAACACTGGTGTGTGCTATGTGTATGTGTGTGTGTGTGCTATGTGTATGTGTGTGTGTGTTTGTGTTGATACAAATACTGCAGAATGTGTTGATAGCATTATGGAGAGACTTCTGAACATTAATATGCTGTTTTCTTCTTAAATAACAGGTCATTGCTTGCGATCAACAATTTGACTATTCCTATGATATCCGATGTGACGTGTGGTCACTTGGAATCACAGCGATTGAGCTCGGGGATGGTGAGCCACCAATGTCTGATCTGCACCCTGTAAAAGCGCTGTATAAGATTCCAAGGTACGTCACTAGATGGCTCTCTCGGATCATATCTATCTTATAACTCTGTTTATTGCAGGCTATTACACCTTGAAGCACGAACATTTCTAGAAATGACACAAAAGATGTTCACAGTGTGAAGGGTTTTTGCAAAATATTCTCTTGAAAGTGTGCATTGGAGAAGTTGAGACTGAAAGCCTTCCTTGCCTACATAATGGTGTTAGCTGGTGTTATCTGCTTCTGCTAGAATGAAATGCTAATGTGTCACATTCTGCAGACACCAGACATTTAACATGGAGGTAAGCATTCATCTGAAAAAAATACAGCAACTACACTTTACAGTAAATCCTGTGAAGTGCTATGAGTCATCCCCCTGACGTAAAAGGTATTGCATCGAACGCAAGGACATTAGTTACGCCCGGTAGCTTTAGCAGTGGAACAAGTGTGTGTTTGGAAGGTTAGTTAAAGTTAGTTAGATTCCTCACCTTAACTACCGGTGATTTCCCGAAACGGCGAGTTTTACCAGCCCTTAAATAACCCCTTAGATAAACAGTTTGCAGTTGTGGTTATGATCTGCACAGAAAGCTCCATGATCAGTTCCGCCTCAGAGCAGCACCTCCTATATTCTGATCAAATATTGCCGGCCCATGGTCCCACAGCTTTGACAAGTCCTTTGTGCCTTATCCTACTTTCTGCCTGAAGCAACAACAGTGTTGGCAGACAACGACGACCGACGACAACAACAACAACAACTTGCTTTTATACAGTGCCAAGTGTCTTGGATGCTTAACAGAGACCTTACAAATTTCATGGGAGGAATTGGGTTGGGCCAAAAAATATTAGCTCAAACAAATTGAATAAAAAAATGAAAAGATTGTAATGCTGCATTACGACTAATCCATTATGGGCATGAATGATGATGTGTATGATAGGTTTATGAAATTTGGACTTGTAGTTTGAATTAGTTTATAAAATTAAAGTGGACGCTGTACGTGTATTTAAAAATCAATTACATTGAGAATTTTTTTGCAGTAAAATATCTAATGTTTTATAGCCACTAACTACATGTAGATAGTTCGTTGTTTACTGTAACACTGAGAGAAATCAATCTCTAGACAAAATCCAAAGAGGTTGTTTTTTATAATATATAATGTTATATATTTCTGCATTGCTTAAATTTACATTAATGTTTCCTGGAGAAATGAGTAAATTATAGAAAACCCAAATTGCACACTCCTACAGATCTTGTATTTCATTCAGCTGCGTAAATCAATCTATTTTTTAAAAAAATCTTAATTCGCCAATGTTATCGACACATTGATGTGCTTGGGCAGTGAGCAGCGTTTGTGAAGTGCCTTTGTTTTCTCGACTGGTGTCTAAATGAAATGCATTTTTGAATTTTTCGTGTCTGGGTATCTTTGTAGATATAGAAAGCATAACACTATCCTGAATTAGAAATTAGTCTCTTCCAGCTGTTCGCTTGTTTCAATTAAAGCATAAATTATGATTATCCTTATAATGGTGTGTGATTGGCAATTAAACAACAAAGTGGCAAATGATTTTGCATCCCTTCATCATGGAATAGACAAACGATAAAACATGAAAAATCTCCCTGTCATGGATTGTCGTAGACGGTCCAGAATCATCGCACGTCAGAAATAGCTGTTCCTTTCTTTTATATATTCCTCTTTCGTCCTTGTAGCTTTCTGTGCTGACGCTGACGACAATGTTTTAAAGGCGACGATAATACAAGTGTTAACCCTGCATGATTGCGGAGATAAAAAGGTTATCATTGCAGGCTCTTCTGATTGGAATTTGCATTTCTGATTGCCTCCCATTCATATTGAGATGAGGTTGGCAGCTTTCCTTGCATCACAATGTTATCTCCAGTCACCATCCCCTGAAACCCAGAGCCGAACAAGAGTCTGTCAAAAAAAAATTGCTATTCTATAGCAGTTTATCTTGTTTCTTTTACATTCATGTAAAACAGGTCACATGAAATTCTATCTAGTCTGATGGAATACAAATTTGGAACTGTGGTGGCTGCGAATTCTGCGAACGGATTAAAAAAAAGCCACATTACATTAAAACTCTGAACTGTTATTACAATACCTTGCAGCAATTTCAAATGCAAAAAAAAGGAGAATAATTAGGTGTCCCTTGAAAGGAACGAACTGTCTCAAATGTACGTGCAGCTCCACATCCAGTTCTGTTTAGCTCGAGTTTTTGAATCAGAACATTTGTGGGGGGGAATGATGCAGACAGTGGATACGTTTATGTAATCCTTTTTTTCTGCGGAACCAAGGTGATAATTTAACAATTTTATTCTTTGAGTTCTAGTTTATAACCGAAACCAGACGACTATCTTGGGTCAGACATTAATGTTTTGTTTCTCCATGTGGCACACTGTCTCGCTTATTAAAATGAATTCCTGGACCTTGCTCGTAAATCTCCTAAATAGGGACCTCCAATATCTGCAGATGGAGATAAATCATACTGAGAAAACACTGAACCATGAAATGATTCTGTTAACATGTCATCTGTCTGGAATATATTTTCAGATCTTCAACAGACGGGGCTGAATTTATGAAAGAATTGGTGGTCTGGCATAGTTGGTGATTTGGGACTTAACACTTTGAACCTTTCTCCATCTGTTCACAATACTTGATTCTCTTCATTTGGTGCAGACGTCAGGAGCCAACTGCTGCTCATTGCGCTGTGTTAGCTGTTATTTCTGAGGTGCAATCTTTAAAGCCTATAATTGGTCTCAATAAGACAAGATTCCTAGATAACAAGGTTGCTACAACAACTTGCATTTATATAGCGCCCTTATATAGCTTGACCTTGAGCCAGGGCAAGAGGGAAGGGAGGTGGGGGGGGAGGTGACCGTAAGCACGATCAAAAAGGAAGGTCTTTGGGCGGGATTGCTAAGGGTTAATGAACGCTCCGGGACACTACCCAGTGCGAGGGGTGATCTGCAACTGAAAATTGTTGTCGAATACTTTTCATTCCCTAACTGCACACGGCCATAAGATTGTATTTCAGTAGCGCGGTAAGGTCGCGCCTCATCGAAAGTATTCTGTATTGCGCTTAAGAAGGTACCGCATTAGGGACAGGAGTAGGCCATTCAGCCCTTCAAGTCTGTTCCGCCATTCTGTTAGATCATGACTGATCTGTAACTCAACTCCAAATACCCACCTTTTCATTCTTTAATTCTAGGTTAACATAGTGCTTAGACTGTTGTATTATTTACTGGAATTTTCCTGTATTTTGTAATTATGAGATCCACTTTGCTATCCTATACATTCTTATAAAACTCCTTTCCCTATTTACCCTTTATTGACGGTACATTTAGCGTTTCGCCCACAAAATATACAGTCACTTGTCTTTACAGAATGTCCTGTGAAGCGCTTTGAGACGTTTCAATGAAGTGATGAGGCGCTGCATCGAATGAATGTTTGCAGCCTGTTGACGTTTTGCGACTGTTACTAATCTCACTCCACGGTTAACTGACTCTCTCATGACCTTGCAGAAGGACAAGCAGAACAGGCTCATCTTCAGTGCTGTAGTATAAAGTAATTCACCTGACAGTCCAACTGAGAAACAAATGAATAATGTGTGTAATATTCACACCGCACACATTTGGGGCCACACGTATCATTAATCTATTTCCGGTTTATATTTCCGGGGGTTGGTGATGCGATTTCATACTTTTTTTTAAAAAAAATACCCCAAATGGTTGGACTCTATAATGTAGATTGGAGAATAATTTAGCGGGAATATCAAGACGATGAGGGTCATTGGCTGGTCACATTCATTTAGGCAGGAGATGTACTCACTATTCGCTCAATCTGAGCTGGTTATTTATATACGGTGGATATTGTCACTGAATGCTGTCATTCAGCACTTGTGCCACAAAGAGATGAGGTGGGGGAGGAGGGAGAGAGAAATAAATGAAAGCATTATGTGATTATGGGGCAGACCTGAAGTCAGCGTTCATGTATTGTGAGGCATTTCTCTTGAAGTTTGTTTCTGATTATCTTTGTACTGTACTTCCATTTGGTGATCTTCCCAGTACTGTATTGTATCCCATAACAATTGCATCCACAAAAAATAATATTTCTCGGAGACTTGTGCTTCACCTGTCTTTCTTTCAGTCATCCGCTCCTGATCTCTATTCTCTTGACCTCTCTCCCTTAGAACGGTTTCCTTCAGCTTTTTTCCCCACCTGGTCCTTTTATTCAATGACAGTCTCTGAGTCTCTGCTTGTCAGGATCTCATTTTATACTCGTCAGTATATCCAGATTCTTGTTGGTCACCTTCTTGGTTTTATGCCACTTCCATTCTTATTATTCTCCCTCTTTTTACATTGTTCATTATCTCTCGTGATATCGTTTTCCATCTTAAGCATCGTCCTCCTTCTGCCTGTATCAGCTTCCTCATCGCCAAAAGTAGAATGAGACTTGCTAGGAAATAGTGACTCTGAAGCACTTCTCATTGAACCCGAAGGGTGTGCTTCTAGATAAATCTCTGTTACTTATCCAGACTTTATTGTTGGAAGAAAATATTCCCATTTATGGAACTGCCGCATAGAGTTCCTCTATTGTGGCAGCTAAGCAGCAGAGTGATGGTGCAGCATTTAAAGTAAATCAGCTTTAATGTTGAAGCCAACCTATGTCCATTGTACTAAATAAAGAATGTGTATTTATTGCTGAAATATGCACAACTTGGATCAGAAGCATTCACAGCGTTGCAACTAAGCAATATAAAAAGAACTTTCAACTTGCCTGAAACTAAATCAATATTGCACCATATTATATGAGGCATTCAGAAACTGAAATCCGCTACAAAATAAACCTGAGGAATCTGGTACATTCAATGTAAAGGTGTGTTTAATAATTGTTCTCTGCATTCAGTTTTCTCTTCAGCTTTAGGGAAAATTTGAATGTCAAATCCACAAGCTTCTGTGTCTACTGATAGGACTTGAACTTGTCACTTTCTCTACTTCATCAAACTGTCAG